GTGAGGACAACATAAATTGTGCAAGCATCAACATGAACCTGACGAACAAGACATGTGAACTGAAGTACTCTACCAAGACCAGACACCCAGAGAAGGTTATTAGCCAACAAAACACCATCTACATGGAGATACGCGATGCTCTCGGGCTTTCTCCTCATAACCCAATATTATCCTGTAAATGGTTCAAGAACATTGAAAACCAGTTAAAGTCAGGTGTTTACTGGATGAAGTTCAATGAGACATACTCTGCGCCATTCCAAGTGTTCTGTGACATGACCACCGATGGAGGAGGCTGGACCCTTGTCTACAGCTATACATTTACTCAGTACAGTAATTTTGGAACAAAACCAAACGCAGTCACTCCAATGCCAAACTGGCCTGTGGACACGTCTTCTAATACATGGGTGCCACAGTCAACAACAACTCCACTCAGTGAGTCTTCTTACTCGGCCATGGATTTTTCTCTGTGGAAGAAGATTGGTAACGAGATCCTTCTAAAGCCTAACATCACTAACTGGGTAGCCTGTGTAGAAGGAACCGGAAGTCTTGTGAACTGGGTGGAAGGAAGTCTGACGTGTAGAGTTGTCAAGGCCATTACACCAACCTGTACCACTGTGGTCCCAACCTTGTTTAAGTTCCATATTTGTGGACCACTTTTTATCGATTCAAAATATTACATTTTTTTAGAAGGAAGAACCGATGATTGCTTTCCTATCCATGATCCTTGTGGTACCACATCCACTAATAATCACCTGACCAATGTAGCCAATCCTGGTGGAGCGATTTACATTCGCTGAGAGAGGAGAACATCATATTGATACCTTGCACATGGGGTGCGTTCAAGCGCAGGATGTATGCAGGTTTACGTATCACTCGGGACTAGTTGAGGCGAATAGTAAAATATAAACATATGATGAATGAAATATTAATATTTGAATGACTTGAAATGCACCTGGAAGCCTAAAACGGATGAATCTATTCACAAAAATATGGAAGAAAATTTAGCTTAGTATTACTATCAACTGTCACGATCCAGTAGTGCTTTGCCGTGACCATGACGGTACCGTGATCGAGCATTTTCATTGGCTGAACAATGATTTTGCGCGCTGTGATTGGTTGAAATGATGTAATGAAATCAGTACTATGACACTTCACAGTCCTACGAAATCCAGTTTAAATCACACCACTGCAAATTTAAGGACTGGAATATGAAAACACGATATTTATTCCTAGTCACGATACTCGGAACACATTTACGATAATTTAGCGCCATTGAGCTAAAAGGAAAATATAAAAATTATAAAACAATAAAAATATAATAATCCTGTAAATCTTTACATAATTTAGAAATAAAAAGATAAAGTATTCATATCTTTGTGGGCTTTTATAAGAAAGGGAGAGAGAAAACATAGTGAAAATCACTGAAATCAAAAGACAAATCACAAGGAATCGAATTTAGATGAAAGTGAAAGGAGGAAATAAAATGAAGAGAAATCGACTTTCATTCTATTTTTTCTCGAGTGCTTAACAGCTCCCAACGTGAGTGTCTTTACAGCAGTAGAGCAGTTTTTGTATGAAAAGCTCAGTGCAGCCGTGACGTGCCGTGATCGTGATGCTTTCTAAAATTTTAATTGGCTGATTTTTTTCACGTGCAATATGATTGGTCATGCATTGCCTTGACATTGGCGTGACCGTGTCCGCGCCGTGTTTATGCCGTGTTCCGGGTATTTGATTGGATCGAGAGTAAATTCTCGTGCAATGTGATTGGTCTGGCGTATCCCTTGCTGTGTCACGACCGTGTTCGTGCCGTGAACCTTTCAGGATCATACGAAAACTGCACTATGTAGACATATGCGGACGAGTATTCAGTTATCTTATAGAAACTGGCGTGGGTTTTCAAGCGTTTCGATCAAGTAAGAGCACGCTTCACCATCTCAAATATGTTTTTTTCAGTTCAGATCAAACATCATCTATGAAAAAAATCCACATTTTAAAGTTCAAATAAGGAAACAGAAGTTAATAAATTCAATGAATTAAAACTAAATTTCGTGCGTGCCCTGTCCATAGGATAAATGGTATGTAATTATATAACCAGCTGCTGCGGTAGGCTGTCAGTTCTAAGTTTCGTTCGCTTTTCCCTTTCCTTTCTTTTCGTTTGCTTATTCTTTGCTCGCTTCGTTCCTCTATCCTTTCTCTCGCTCCAGTTTGACTTCCTTTTTCTTCTTTTTTCTGCCTTTCCTTCTTCTTTCGTTATCTTTTTTTCGTGTTTTATACGGTGTACGTACAGGAAATATCGATCCTCGGGAAATTACGGAAAAGATGTTTCATTGACCAATCAACACATCCATCCATCCATCCATCCATCCATCCATCCAGCCAGCCAGCCAGCCAG